CTCTCTAGCAACAAAACAGTGCAGGGACAGTAAATTATGATAAAATGTCAAATATCGATACTTAATTTTCAATTTAAATTTGCAGGTGTTACGTGAAATCGAGAACGTTTACTTCTCGTCTCCGTCAGAATTCGATGCGGGCCGGTATGTACTGGAACATGCACCTGCTACTCCCACCTGTGACGATATTGAAGTGATGTTCACCAAGCTCAAAAGACAGCAACAGGTAATACGAATTGTCTAACTTCCGAGGCACATTAGGTCCTTCCACAACATTTATTTCAAATATCGTGGATCGAGACAACCTACAAGAACTACACGAGTCGCCTTTAGTATATAATTTTTGTTTCAGTATAATTTTAAACCTCGTGAATGGCAAAGAACAATGACAAAATCATAGAAAGATTCGCTATCGTCTTAAAATGTCTTAATTACAAGTTTGAATAAAATAAATTCATTAGGTTTTCAAATTGTAATAGAGGCCTATCTAAGTAAAGGCCCATTTAGATGGAGAGAGTTTATCGCACGCTTCGTGACGAAAAATCGTACGCGATTATTGCAAGCAATAATCGCCATAAGATTATCGTATCATAATGGCATAGTACATAAAGGCATATTACATTCAGGCAGGAACTAAAATCTTGCCTACGATTATGTCATACAAGATTCGCAAGCAACTTAATCGCCTCCTCGACTGTTTACACAGAGAAATAATGTAGTAAGGAGATTCTTGCTTACGAGTTTTCGACGTGTCTAAACACGATCTCGTATGACATTTTTGCAAGTTCATATGATAATCGTACAAATCGGTTGGAACCGTTTTGAGTGCGAGAATTGCCATTCGAGTTCAGTGATTACTGCGTTATTGACCATGGATATACCAAAATGACGCAAAAATCATTCAAATTTGGAACTGTTGTCAAAATTAAGTTCATTGCACTGTATAGAAAATATTTTTTATACTTTTTTAAATTTTATAATATTTTTTAACCCAAAATTTATTTTCGTTCTCATTTTATTAATTCTTGTCTTAGAAAAGCAGTGATAAATTGATAATCAAAACACCCTCGCGCACTGCACTCATGTTAGCGACTGGCTGGCACAAAAACTTGAAATACGATTTTTGCTTTCAAGTTCTGTTTACAAGGGGACATTCGATATTCAAAGGCGAGGCGATTATCGATCACGTGGACGGTCGATAATCGCGAATGTTTAGACGAGGAAAGTTTTTTTATATTCTTTCGATAATCGTATCTTCGAGACGAGAAACTCTCTCCATCTAAATGGGCCTTAAGCGATGGGTGAGTCGAGTTATTTAACTCGAGTTACTTCGACAACGAGTCAACTCGAGTTACTTTTTTATGAACTCGAGCTAACTTGGTTCGGTATCCGCCCCGCCGAACCGAATACTTCATTCATACAGCGCAATGCGCAGCGGCCACTCGTTCAGTGACCTTCAGAGCGGACTCCAGTGACTCGAGTTGAAAAAAATACAACTCGTCCAATCGCTAACTCTTTTCACTTCGCTTCTTTTCGCTTTTAACGGAGGCGTGGCCGAACGGTTACCACGCCACGCAGAGGTCCCAGGTTCGATTCCCGGGCCGGGAGAAATATTTGTATGGCCTACATTTATTTCTCTAGTGACTTTGGTTGTAATTCGTGGTTGTCTATGAGTTGAGAGAGACATGGACACATGTCGCCCGCGACACAGGGTTTCCCTAGTGCGGTGTTATGTTGAGTGTATGCGTTATGCGTTATCGCTAATCTTAAGTCTGGAAATAAAATCATATTGAAAATAAACTCTAATGACTAATTAATATGTAACCAGACTGACATCTGCAACTATCAGTCTCTTAGTTTCTCAACGTTGAGCGACATCTGGCTGCCAAAAAAGAAATTTCAGTAACTACGTATGGACATACTCCACATTTGGTTCACGTAATATCAAATGTACTGATTCGACCGATTTGTAATAAGCTAATAAAATATTAACTACTTCTTCGTTACAAAAAATAAAGTCTATAATTTCTTCTTCAAAATGCCACGCGAGAAAATGGTAAAACTGACAAAAATGTTCCCAAAATTAGTGATAGATGGCACATTTCACAAAAAATATAATTTGTGTCCGAGTTACCAGTGCAATAGTCTGTGGTATGTTATTAATTAACTCAGTTTTTTTTGTTATCGCTTAACACCATACCTTTTGACCTTACCAGTATACAAAATAAGTCCCACGGCACCATTCAGATTCTATTAACTCTGTTTAAGGCTTCTGTAGTTTATTTTGGTATAATAATACACTGAATACATTTTATTCAATTATGTTACACATAATCTCCAAAACTTCGAACTGGAATATCGTTAACTCCTGACTTCTCAGAATAGTAAACCCAAAACAAAATTTGCTCAGGAATTCTATAGTTTCACAAATTTTTCATAAAAGGCGCATACAAATTGTGTCACCAAAAGATTATATGGGAGTTTGCCATTGTCGTTTGAAATATCAACCAGAATCTTATTATAGAAGCGTATACCTCCTTAAACATGACTGTCAAGAGCAGCAAGTACATTTTTATGTCTCATATTAATGTTATGATTAACAATCTAAACCGTCTATTCCAGGTAGTATCTGGCAAAGCCCTCCATCTTATATCTCAACAACGCGACAACTGCGACCGCGAATTCAACGAAATACAAAGCATTAGAGAACAATTAACGCAAACTCTTAACTCTTGTCGAAACGCCAGAGAGCAGTTACGCACTGCGTCGAATCACTTAACCGTATCTACTTTTGTTATCCTTGCAAATTTCAGAAAAAGACAGTTAATCAGGTCAGTTTTAAAGTCCCTAGAATTGCTAAGAAGTCTTCGGAGTGTAGAAAAGGATGTAGCTGAATTAGTAAATAAAAAAGAGTACTTCGGGGCTATAGAATTGATACAAAAAAGCAGGAAAGCTGCAGCGAATCATAAAGAATTCACTTGCATAGCAGACTTGAATGTCAGACTACACGATACCCTTTATATGACGGAAGAGAAGTTGGATTCGGTTCTGGCCAGTATCTGTTATAATTTCGATGAAAATACATTTAGGGAGTTAAGGAAAGCCTATGCGTTGTTGGGGAAGACGCAATCGGCAATGGAGCAGCTGCATATGCATTATTCATCAGCGGTGAATGAAAGTTCTGTAAATGCAGTGAAGAATTTTGTAGACGTAACTTTGGAGATGAAGTTTCAAGATATGTGTCAGGCGGTACCGACCACGAAAGCGCCAATATGTCTGCTAAATTTATGCGATAACTTGTTCCTTGTTATGAAGAGTTATTATTTACTGGTCAAATGGCATAATAAACATGATGAAGAGGAAATATTACCGAATTCCAGTAATGTTGTAGAGATAGAAATGAACGTTAGCAGGGAGTACATAAGACAGAAGTTAAAAGCCGGTTTGCCTAAAATGTGGAATGATGTACAAGGAAAAGTGTCCATATTTTTAAAAAACTCTGGTTTAGAAGAGTATCCCTTTGAGAAATTCATACAAATGTTGGGAATATTGAGAAAGTTGACGCAAGTTGCTGAAGTTTTTTGCGGTGACAAGTCAGATATCTTGCAAGACTTTATAAAAACGCAAAGCGTGTCGTACATAAAGAACTATCATCGAGGGAGAATGGAAGAACTGAAATTATTTCTTGAAAATGAAGGATGGGAACAATGCCCGGTCAAATCGACATTCAATCTGCTAAATCTACAGGAATTTAAGCAATTTAAGAAGTATTTAAATCCGTTAAAATCAGAGCAATCATTTATCAAAACTCAAAGCGATGGAGCCTCATCAATCTCACAAGACGAAAGTGTGTGTATAAATAAATATTTCAGTGAAAAAACAAGGACGACACCGTTTGACATGTTCAAGAATGAAAACGTGACGAATGACGATATTTTTGGCTTGGAGACAGAGTATGACCAAAGTGATGAATCTGATGATGACCCGGACGAGCTGAAACGCGAATTTGTCGACGAAAATGTCGACAGAACGAACGAAAGTCCGTCGAAAATCAAAGACAGTGTCATTGTAACAAATACAACGTTGTCTGTTTTGAGAAATTGCGGGCAATATCTGCAAATATGTCGTTATTTGCCTCAAATTTCTCTAGAAGTCGTTATGCTTATGAATCAATTGTTTGATTATTATTTTTATACAGTCCATCTATTTTTCACATCAGATCTTGATGTTGCATCTACAACTTTGTATACAACGAAACTATCGGCAGTTTTGAAGCGTATTTCCAACAGTATCGACACTTCTGGTTCAGACAATGAGAAAATCTTCGTTTGTCCAGAATTACCAACACATTTAGACATGACTTCGGAAGAGAACTTGCACGCATTATCTGAACGAATAGTAGCAGTCGAAAGCTGCGTGTTTTTAGCTAAACAATACGAATTTCTACAACCATATTTAGAGTCAATAGTGTCACAACATCAGAGAATGATTTTAGAGCATTTTAAAGATAACACTTTAGCGGTGGCACCAGATTTAAGACAACCCGTTTATATGTGTTCGGCCTCAAAATCAGTTGACGCTAGATCCGCTTTAATAGCCATGTCTCAGGTTAGGTGGGATGTGAAAAACGTTGCTGTAGAACACAGTCCTTATGTCGATATGATTACAAGAAAAATTCAAGTTTTCACTTTACGTTTGGAGAATATTTCAACAAAGGTATCATTGAATGTGGATGTTTTAAAATCTGTTTGGACAATGGTCTCCAAATTTATAGTACATCTTTTGGTTGAAGGGTTTTCTAATGCGACAAAGTGCACGAATGGCGGTAGAGGTCTTATGCAGTTGGATTACAGGCAATTATTTGTGAAATTAGAAAAGATATCAGGGCTAAAACCCGTACCGTACCAAGATTACGTCGATAGTTACGTAAAAGCTTATTATTTACCGAGAAACGAGCTCGAAGAATTTGTTTCGAAGCGGACAGAGTATTCTAATAAACATTTACTAGCGTTAGTGACTTGTGCTTGTGAAAATAAACGTGACAGACAAGCTTTGGTCGCCATTTTGGAAAATAGAGATTCAAATGCTCAATAATGCGGCTGGTAAGTATCTTATTAGCACTGCTATCACTTGTTCCTCAGAATTAACAGCATCTGCACTGTCTTTATCATCTTTTCAAACTGGCTCTTATGCTCACTAGTACCCAAAGTAGACCAATTAAGTATTTTATGGCAGCCATTTTGTTTTTGCAAAATTTTAAAAAATAACGTTCTTAAGTAGCACTTATTATAGAGCGGAAACTAATTCTATAATCGCTTAACCCTCCTTGTCTGCCTCAATTACCAAAAGCTTTTTATATGGAAGCTGAAGATGTGCTGATGGATGCATCCATCAAATGCGTCTTCACATTTGGGATCAGTCTTTAAAGTATGTGTTAGAGCTATAACAAATAATAAGCTTTAATTTATAAATTTCGTTCTAATTCGTCATAAAAATTGTAACTAATTTCATGATAGTAATTTATGAAACCTATTATGAAAATATACTTAACTTTTTGTCGCAAAACTACTCTTAATGAAATAAAAATACTATAGTCCATTTCAATAGGGATGAGTTCTGTGACACTTCCAATTTTTCATTGTACGCATACGTTTTATAACTAATCTGTCAACCATGTAATAAAAATAAATATTAAATTTGTTATAATGTACAAATATCAAACAATATTTGTTGTAGATGTAATTTTAAGTCAAATTTGTGGTATATTATGTAGATAGAAAATGAAATAATAAATATAAAAATAAGTTACCCCAACTGCTTCAAGCGTAAAACGGATTATTTATCCATAGAGATTTACACTGTAGAATCGATAAATCGAAATGGCTTTTGTATAACTCGCGTCAATACGAGGCACATACCTTGTTAGAGGGTTTTATTTTGTTTTTAACTTTGCGTGATTTTTTTGGAGTAATTGTTGAAATTTCGTTTCGTTTGTGTTGATTTTATGCTTTATTGTTGACTTTTTGTTTGGTTGTGTAGTTTTTAAGGATAGACACAACATAAATTACTCTAATTACTTAATGTGTAAAACGAAAAATGTATCCACAGATCTTAAAATATTTTCTGTAAATCAATTCCCTCTTCGTTACAAATTATCTCGATAAGATATTTAAATCGATTTTTTTTCATGCGATTTTACATCACTATATCTCTAGAAATTTCAAATTTCAAACGTCACCAGAATCATCCCTATTGAAATGGACTATAGTAGGCAATTAATTTATATTTTTCTTATTATTTTTAAAAACAATAGTATGTAAGTCATCACATGTAAATGTAAATTATCTGCCCTTAGACCATCTGTGGCACATAACACGCTTATAATAATAAAACAATAAGTCGTCGCAACACTCAATTAGACCTGTGTTGATCAATTAATCCTGGTACCCAGGTCGATCGCCACCCATGCGTAATGGTGATGAGGTCAAATGATTCGACCATAATTTTCGATGCTTTAGCGGGTAGCTCGCCGTTCACGATCACGAATGCTCTATCGAACAAAATGTTCGACCCAAACAAACAGTGTAAAGTGTGGGATGGCGAAAACGTGAGGATTTCACGTGAGAATGAAGGAAACAACAATAATGTTGCAAACTGTTGCAAATTTTTAGAGGCCCGCGACACACGTTATTTCAATTTGTTCAATTTCAGTTGCTTATTGCATATCACATTACAAATTTAAGATGGAACATTATTTTTTTTTATCGGGTACAGATTATTCGAACAGCAATAATTTTGGTTTGATCGAAAACGATCGACACAGCTCTAATCGTTATTCTTCTCCAGTCCATTCATTTTCTTCTTCCATTCATCTCGTTCACTCCCTTCAAAATATCATTTCTCAATATCCTTCCATTCCTTTCGTTGGTCTTCCAATCCCATTATAGCCAAACTTTATGTAAATATGTCTCAAGGTTTACCCTGTTGATTACTTGACTGTTTTGCTGTGTGTAAAAGCTGACGAGTTGTATTGTTTCTGGAGGTCTACTCTCTCTTTCTCCGCCTGAAACAATTACTGTCACAAATCTCATTGAAAACCAGCGCCACAGTAAATTATGGCTGGGCTTATGCTGAACGAAGTCGTTTTGCGAACGCCACAACCACACATATGACAGTACAAAATTAGTAGTCGTTATATTTTGCTTTTTGTCAGATTTTTGTTTTTTATTTTGTTTATTAATTATTTTGTTTTGTTTGTCCGTGTTATCAATTTTTGTTTTTTTTTGTGTCTATATGTTGTGGCGTTGCATTATGCATCATGCATCTTTTAATTAGTCCAGTATTACTTATTTGACCGTAATTTGTTTCGAACGGAGAACGGGAGCACAGAGCCTGATTCAGATATTAAAATAGGCAGATTATTTACTTATAAAGCGCCTTCAAATGAGACTTCTACAAGAAGCGATGCAGTAGCCCCTCTGGCGCTGCAGCCGTGCAGTACTAATTTTCATACAATACTTATTTAGAAGCGCATTTGCAGCGTCACTGTCGTGACCCGCGCGCGCCACTTTCGCAGTCACAATTAGTGAACTAAAAATTACTGCCGTCCGTTAACTAAAACTACGCGGTTAAGTGACAAAATATATATTTTTTGAGATATCACAAAAAACCATAACCCAGTTTTTAGAATATTGACATTGTTTAATGACATTTCGGCTATGCATCGTTAGGGTAAGTTCCGATAAGTCGAACACATTAACTAATTTTAACTGTTTTTAAAATAGAGTTTTATCTTTTGCTATTTAAAACGGTTATTTAACCATTTGTCACTTAGCCATGGTTTAGTTAGTGGACGGCAGATTACACAAGCGCTACAGAGGATCTAGTCTCGTTCTCCGTTCGAAACAATACTGTCAAATAACTAATACTCGACCAAATCAAAACAGTTTTGGAAGCAGTAAAGGTTCTTGTGAAAGAGTTCGTCCAGGGTAGCACTGTCACCTTACCTATTTCTGCCGCCAAGCAGTAATGTCAGCGGTACTTTGTTCCGGTTTTGAAGGGTAAGGGCGCTGGTGAAATTACAGGCACAAAATGTTTGTGCTGTCAAATAAGTAATACACGACCAAATCAATTTTTTTCTGATTTATTTAATAATTAAAAAACATTAACACGGTTTTACTTTACACTCTTAAACCTAAACAGATTTGTAGGAGTCTTGCAACTCCTCTAATATAATATATAAAATAACAATTTTATGGAATGTACGAAAAAAATATATAATGGAGATATAACGCAATTAATATTAACAAAAATGCAAGGCACCAATTTGCCGCCGCGTCAGCGCTCGCTGTAGCAAGAAAAAACCAGTTCTATTCTCAGCGCTATACGTGACAATGTCAAGTATGAAGCTTCATTCACATCATGTGTCTTAATTCACACATTCGCACACCATACATAACATACACACCATACTTACTACACATTCAGTGACACTCACCTTATAAATACTCATTCGCCCTCACCCTTCACATATCGTGAGATTATTACAGGTCTTGGAGGTCCTAATTAGTTTTACAATAACTTAGGAATATTTACGTACTTTAATTAATTGTTCTTCTGTGTCACAATCACAGTGCCACAATCATATTGCTCATCTGCAGACGGGAAGCCTAGTGACCTGTAATACTACAGGTTTTTCTATATCTATCTCTGGCACCAGTCACTCACAAAACAGTATGACAAATTTTGTTTTAAACTATAAGTTCTTCTACTCTTAAACCTGCTTGTGAAGAGAAAATAAAGTAACGTAAGCATAAAAATTTGGCCGGGTACTACTTATTTCACAGTAATTATTTCGGACCATCGCGTATATAACCGTAAATAGAGACGAAATATGGGCCATCCATACCTGACAATCAGGTAAATGGGCCTTATATCACTTGAATATCAACTCGTGTTTGCATTGAAATCACAAATTAGAAAGCTGAAATAGTACAGCGCCAACTACTGACCTGTGTGTACGTCTCCGTGTATTCGAAAATATTCTGTATTTATTGTAATAAACATAATATCTCTAATTATGGAGGGGCTGTTCCATTTAGTGGTGAGCGAACAACAGCACAACATCTTAATTACAAAACAAACGGAATCACATTTCATCGGTAATTAAATATAAATATGTAATTTTTCATTCATCATTTTTCATCCATTATAGCAAAGCTCAAGTTAAACTGGTCGATTTGAAGTGAAACTATTTACGACACCCGTCAATTGTTTCGAATTCGGGCTGGCCAATAGGTGCGCATTTGTCACCGTAATGATATGGCAGAATAGTTTTCAAACAAATTAAATGACGTTTCGTCTCTATTTCTGGTTATGTACTCGATGTTTCAGACGAATGTCGGACGGAGAATGGGGATAGACCCCCAGAAGAGTCTAATTTGAAGGCGATCTAAGGTACTTTAAAGTGACACGTAGGTGGAAATCATTATTGTCTTGTATTTTTTATGTGAGAAGCAATTATTTTACTACAGTAGCGTATTTAGAAAAAAAGTTTTGAAACAGCGTGGACCAATAACTCTAGAGCACTTGTAATCTCCGTACTAAAGATCCGCCTTATAAATATAGATGGCGCTGATCAATGGCGCCTGGAAGTAGTTTATATCAATACATTTTAACATTACATATAAGTCTGTCTTTTTTTCCTTTACATACTTAATATTATTCAAATATTGATCACGGGATAAATTTATTTGCTTAACTTTGACAAATATGCGTGTCAATATAATTCATTTATAAATTAACGCTTCCTAATATGGGTAGATGGCGCTAATCCTAAACAAAATAAACAATAGCCATATAAATCTTCATATAAGACACTATTCATATAAATCTGTGCAATTAACCATCTCGTTGATTTGTTTGTTATCACTAGAAATTAGAGTAGCTTTTGTTTTTACTCTATATAATATATTAATACAAGACGGCAGTAAATTAATTTCCTACTCCGCGAATCTAATGAAGCTTAACTACAGTCACAAACACCACCACCAAAAATATACCCGACCCATGTTTCGTCTCACTACGAGGCATTCACAGGAGTTGTCGATTGTTCGACACTCGGCCGAAGAAATTCAAGTTTCTTCAAAAATTTAACACAAGCGCAGCTTTTTTGGATTTGTCCTTTACTGGGTTCGTTTTATTTATAATTAATTTACTACCCTTTTTATTAATATTGATTTCCACAAAATAACGCCTGAATCTATTAGTTATCTACCTATGTGTCTTACTTGAAACTTACACTCTGCAACATAACGTTCGGGATCAAAAATGTAAACAAACAACTGTCACTGTTAAAATGATATGAAAAATTGTAAAACTGAAATACTGTGAAAATTGTTAATTCTGTTTGTGACAAAAGGTGGCGATATTTTAATCCTGGCCGTGTGCGGAATTTCGCAAAACTAATCACGGACGATATTAACAGACTTGTCAGCGTTTATATTATATACAAGTTAGGTATGAACATAATGTGTAAAATAATATACAATAAACTCACTTTGATAAGACTTTAGATAAGGTAAAGGATTTATAAATATATAGAATAGTTAAATGTACAGAAAAGAATAATTTATTGTGTTGAATAAATCTGTTTATTTCAAATGCCTTTTCCTTTTTCTCTTCTCTTGTATTTTGTATTATAATGGCACTGGCTGGACTACTTTATGCCAGTGTCAAAGTCAAGCTTATTTTTACATTGGAATGACACTTATTCTTTAACTGCCCTGAAATAAGCTTCTCTCTTTATGACCTCCTTCCCAAAAACATCCTCCCCCAATCACTATGAAATATTTTCTGGTCAACGCCCACTTTCTACTAATATGCACTGTATACAAATACTAAAGTAGTTTTTAAGGCCATTAGCGCATTCTGATTTTTTTCACGTTTTTCGAAAATTTAAGATTGTTTTCGTGAAGAAATAAAAAATCTCCTAAGGTCCAAAATAACGGTCCAATCTAAGAACAAACACAAAAAAGGCTTCCATTGGACGACGGGTCTAATACAAAAACCACGAAAAAAATGTCCCAAGTCAACCTATTCGAAATTTAAATTGTTATGTCATCGCAGTATCGCGCTGTCAGTGGAACAAATGAAGACTAAAGCGGAGTGTCGCGCTCTGTATACGATTTTAGCGCCTTACAAGTGCGGACACTTTTTAGCGCGGACCCGACGTCCATATAATTGTAAGTCAATGCTTCCATACCATATTTCAATTAATTTAGCGGAAGTTTCCAAACTAGAATCTTTTTAGAGACTAGAGCAGAAAATTTTCAAAAAAGTACATAAAAAATCAAAACTTGATTTTCGCGGAACTAATATTTATTTTAAATGGATTGTTGCCGATCTATGATTGTTACAATGGCAACATCTTTGTTTACATTTTTGGTCCATATTAGTACGAATTTAGGCACTTGATGAAACTAAAACTATAATGAAAAGTTTAAAGATTCACGTCTGTTAGGATCAATTTGTAGATAAAAAGAAATATAATATTATAAATAATCTATATTGATTTCAAATTCTCACAATCTCTGATGGGTAAAGAATCGCCCCAATTACTAGATCGAGCACATCTATATGTTGTCTGATCGTATTTTCCTTTCGAAAATATCATTTCTTTTAACTCACCATGCTTTGTACATAATCTACAAATTGTATGACCAGATCTAACTATAGGGGCTCGTACTATTCTAGGCCATTGTGGGTCGTCCACGGGTCGTTTTCCTTTCTTTAAAATAACATAAGAAAATATCTCAGCTTGTACATCCTTTGCAATGTATGGTAAAGTCTCATATTTCATAAGGAAATTGCATGGTGTTTTATGTTCTAAATATCTTGGACATACACTGTCATTTGGGCATGGTGAGAAAGCATAACCATTGTTTTTCCCCTCGGGTAGATTTAGTACAAACTCTCTAGCTTCATTGACTATTTGAAAACCAGAATTTGATCCGTTCTCAATGACTACTAAGAAATCTTCTGTCTTGTTCCATAACTTTTGTATAGTTTCCAATCTTGACTTCATATTTGGTAATTCAAATAGTGAAAATGCTGACAACACTATGTTATATTTCAAATCTGTTGAAGCAGGCAGGAATTGCCGTTGGAAATAACCTTTTAGGGGCATTTCTAGGTTTTCTTTACCGTGGCAAAGGATGAGACGGGCCAGGTCGTGCATTGCAGGTGATGTATCCACGCAAAAGTATTCATATATTTCATTTTGCCAAAATGTGTTTACTGCCCATGTTCCTGAAGATAACAAATATAATTAAACTTCAGTGGTGTATGAAGAATTTTTGTGTCAATGCTATTGATGATGAGAAGTGATATTATACCATGTACACAAATAAGACATTGATTAAGCTTTAATTTAAAGGAAAACAATGTAATGGCATCAAACAATTTTTAATATTTAAAACTTAAAAGCTGGTTTCACACTGAAACGGGTTTGTTTTTTGTTATATAGAAACTAGTCTCAGAATATCAGTTAGCATTTTGCTTATATTTTTTTTATTACAATAGGCCAAGTAGCATCTGCATTGCTATACTATATGATTATACTGTAATAATACTGCATATTTATGCATTTATTAATGTTAATTATACACTTGTCAAAAGATACCGTGGAATGTTACCCAAAAGAGGGAATAAGGAAGAGTGTGGTACAATATTTCAGTTGGGAATATGTTTCAAATATGTTGTTGGAGGAGCATGGACGCAAACATCAAAAGAAAGAGAAATATGGAAATCTCTGGAAGAGACATATGTCTTGGGACAAGCTTAGGTTACCACATTAACAAAAACAGATATTTAATATTAAATAACACATAATGTTTCTATATTTTAAAAGAATGTATGTAAGTTCATTCTAGTTAATCAGCAGTAAAGGTTATTAATAAAATAAATGACTCATGAAGTGTTAAACGTACCGGTCCCAACACCAGAACCAAAATCAAAGAAACTTCTTGGCTTATAATCTGGATATTTCTTCTTAATCTCATCCAGAACACGTAACAGTATTGCGTAATCTGGAGCAGCTCTCACCATTAAGTACTGCAGACTTGTTGATTTGTCGTATGCAATGTTGGCCCATGAGTAAATATTCTTTTTTAGAATGTTGAATACAGATGTTTTAATTTTCTTGTTCACGTCTTCTTGTTCTTGCTGTGTTAGTTCTTTTGTTATTTTCGAGTATACCTGTGAGGATACATAATAATTTTTAGTTATTAATATTATAGTTTAATAAAGAAAAACAATGACTACAAAGTGCATGAGAACAAAAAATCAATAGTTGTACAAGAAGAGACGAAATGCTATTTAAAAGTGAACACCTAACTCCTAAACTAGGATATCCTGTATCTTAGGAGGGAGCGATTCCTCCAACATTGGGTATCAATTAATGTACTGTGCACACATTTTAATTTTTTTGTAAATGGCAGGAGTGCATGCATGTAAATATTTGTGTGTGAGTGTATGTAGATGATGTCGATATCTTCACATCACAGATTTTCAATGTCATGATAATTTACAGTCAAATGTGTATCTTGGAGTGCTTTTTTAATTGCATACTTCGACAGTGTATGTATACAAGTTAAATTGTTTACTCTGTATACAAAAACTTTGCAGCACTACATGTTGTGTCCGACAAAATGGATTGAAACAGTCCAACATTAAATGTATTGAAACCAACTTGTGCAGACAACTGTACTCTGATCTATGAGCGAATGCTATACAACCTCAGGAATTCCACACTCTTCGCAATTCGGTGTATTCACTCTCCACATCAAATACAAAAATTTGTGTAATGGAACGTGTCCAGATCGTAGCCTATGCGCGCTGACTTTGAAACCCTTTATAACAATTCTAAAATGCACCTTCACGTCATAATAACTTGATTGGGGGTCTCGTAGGTCCCATATAGTGTTGTTACGTCTATATAAGTTATAGAAACAGAAACCAATTAAAAATAGACGGAACGAACATACCCTCTTTGACACACTATCGTATATTTTCGCGGCTTTTTTATCAATATCACCCTCTTCAGGCGGCAGCAATCTCGAGCGGAGGTAGTTCCCTAGCTTTAAACTATCCTGGTATAGAGAGTTGGCGTTAGAATCGTCTAGGATTATCTTTATAGCTTTTTGTATATCTGGTGGTATGGCGGCTAACTTAATACGCGTAGTTCCTGGATGTTTTCGCGGTTTATACACTTTAGCATCAAAGTTTTCTTTCAAACTAGCATCGAGTTCCACTTTTGTAGTATAGTTTTGAGAGAAAACCGAGAATTGTGATAGTTTTATCCGACGAAACATTGTTGTGGTTTAATATAACCTCAAAATGTGTATGCTTATGTCAATGTGACATTATGAGTAGTGTTTGTACAGTGACTTAGAATGATTTAGTTTTTGAGCCAGATTTTATGTATAATACGTAATGAATGAATAAGAAAGTTGGAACTGTATACAAGTATGTATCAAAATGAACGCCACGCGAAAGCTGCACCGCTAAAATTAAGAGGCTAAATTGTTATGTTGTGGAACTAGTGCACAATAAAACAGTATTATAAAAATTGTTTAAATGCTGTTGTGGTACCGTCACATCAACTCGCACGCTCGTTATTGTCGTCGTAAGCCTGTGACTTTAATCTGGTTTATCGGTTATAGGCCCAAACGTTTTATTCTACGCGTCTAGCCCATAGATATAGAAAAAAAGGGGCCTAGCCTGTTCCCATATCACGACTATCTGTCGTGGACGTTTATTTTATCGTTGTTGTTCGGCTGTCGTGTCTAGCTGTTCCCATTAGATCGTGACGACAATTTATTGATTCACGTTCTGTCGTTTGAAGCTGCGATTATCTGTAGTCACATTTTTATCGTGACGTTTTATTTATCGACTGACGACTGTGTTGATATAACAGTCGACGATGAATGTGAACCACAATAAGGCAGCAAATTGGTAATTTAAGTTTTTTAAATTAGCCGGTTGACACGAGAGAATTTGGAGACAGTTGACATTTTTCAGATTTCAAAAAATTAATAAAAGGCAGCTTGCACACACCATGCAATCTCTTTTCTAACAGACTGTCGTTCTAGCTGTTTCCATTGTCACGACAGTCTGTCACCACAATGTCAAAAAAGTTGTGAACGACAATTAATAGTGTTTTACTATATGTGAACAACTTCATTATGTGTATATACCATAGATTTAGTATATAGGATGGTACATACAAAACGACACTTTATGGTCTATCCACACATATCCGGGCCGTGCCCGAGACGTAGACGGGCCGAGCTCCGTCAGGGGCCCAAAAAAATATCGTTCCGTATATTTTGTATGAACTCGTTCACATATGTCCGTGTCCGGGACGGGCCCGCAGTTCATACAAACTAGCACGCCCCGGCCACGTCCCTGATGTGTATGCATAGTCCTTTAAACTGCACGACTACCAGTCGTCACGACATAATGGGAATGCGCCCTTAGTCTTGCATATCCCTATGTGACTAAATATTATTCATATGAGTATGTATAATTAATATTTATTCATACTTATTAGTTATTATTTATACAGATATGTGTTATGGACTTGAGCGTAGCGGTTACACGATCAAATGAGCGACAGTCGAGAATGCGGATGGTGGCTGAGCCGGATAGTAAGTAGAAAACTGAGACGTATATACAATTCAGTCATTATATTGCGTAGTCAGTAAGGTCACATGCAGAGTCACGTCACTGCTTCACACAGCGCAATGCTTTTAATTTAATCTGTTTGTGTTTGTTTAATTTGTTTGTTTAAACTTAATAAAAAAGAAATAAAAGAGTAACTATATTTTATTATCTATTTAATTTAGCCATCTCCTCTTGCTTATGTTTAGTAATGCAATCCTTAAAATCATTTACTTCTGACTGACATTTTCTCCAGTCTTTAGTTGTTGCTATGCATTCCTGAAAACAGAAAGTAGTATTTATGTTTCAGTCCTTGATTTTGGTAATAAAATGAAAGTTGAACCTACTTAATATATTTTTTTATAAAAAAAGACCGACCTAAGTTTATGGATTTACATCTATTTCCCAAGTTATTGAAATTGGTTAACGGAAAGCGAGTGAAATCCAATAAATCTGATTCAACAAACCCTAATTTGCCACCCTTAGAGGTGGAATAGTTTCTTCAAATTTGAATGGGACCACTACTAAGGTATTCTTTTCAATACAAAGAATTGGAGTAATCGCGCAACAAACACACAAAAAAGATGAATCGTGAACCTCGATTCGATTTTTTTTAACGAATTTCGAACATCCTCCTTTTTAAGTCGATTAAAAATGGAGAAGCATATAGTACCGCTGCCCTTCGTAATATTTTTTTATAAACTTTTATTAACATTTTGTAATATTATATAAATTTGTATCAATCAAGAAGATCAAGTAGTAACGTAATGTGATTTATTGCAATTTATTTTCATTATTTTATGGCAAAATTAAATCGATCTTACTTGCACTTTGTAGTGAAGTTCTAGGCATCCTGCCTTCTTCAACATAGATTCTACCGGGTCGTCATCATTATCAAACTTTTCCCGAGGTTTTATAGTCATTTTTGGTTAAATTTTCATTTAATGTGGACTAGAAATGGGCTATTTCATAACATCACATCATAACCCCAATAAAATTTATAGCTAATGTCAAAATTGGAATTGTCAAAACGCAGTCGGCGGTTGTGTTTCAATTCACGACAACAAAAATGTTCTAATCTGGCTGTAATCTTAATGAAATTACGAGTAAGTGCAGCATTTAAAACTGAGTACTTCTTTCTATTATATATATATACTATATTATATGTATTAGACAATACTTGAGAATAGAAACAAAAAAAATTTTATTCTAAGATTACCAGTGCAGTAAAGATTTAACGAGACGTGTAGAAAGAAACGCATAGCGATCAATACGTCTATAAGACAGAACTAGGGACGACGATTACTGCCTTGGATCGTAATGGCTCATGGCTCACATGCCTCTAAATCGATACTCAGATCGGATTATTTGGATTTGATTTAATAAAGATTGTTTCAACATTAACCATCTTTTTTTATTGTATTTTGTATAATTGCCATAACTAAAATACATAAATTTAAAGTGTTATTTACTTTTTACACTTTTCACAAATGCCATACTTTGACTACTATAATACCTTCGTAATGTTTCATTATTGAGCTTCGTATCATATACAAAATGGATAAAAAAAGTTCGCCCTTAATGTCAAATCGATTTGCTTAAAAATTGAAATGATTGCAATAACTGCAAGCATTGAAATGAATCGATACAAAAAATCGCTATATCGTGTTCAATTCAACCGATCTTCTTAAAAATTAAATCGTAATGTGCGTCCCTATAACTAGCCAAGCCCATAGATCATACATATAGCCAAGCCAATCTCAGTCTGTATTTTGCGGCGAGGAAAAGGTTATTTCTCTTTCGTTTCTTTCTGCTTTGTTCGGGATAATTGGCCATAAAACAAATTTTTATAAATTTGCATAGACCCTACTCGCGTTAAAATGGCTGATGAAGAATACGACGCTGATGATGCTGGCGCAGATTACGATGACATCGCCGAGGAAGATGATAATATTGAGGAAACGGAGGAACAGGAAGAGGACGGGTGCGTAATATTGATTTTGTCCTGTCTGTATTAGGATCTGTGCATATGGCGCCGCGGCGTTCGCCCTTGAGGCCTGGACACTTGTACATTATCACAATTTTCGAGAAGGAACTTAATAATATCGTTGATTGGCAGAGAAGTTCAAAGTACTTAACCTATGATGGTATTGATGGAGCTATAATATAATAAACAAGAAGAACCTTGTAGCCCCTTACCGAGTTGGCCATTATAGTAAATATTATTCCAGGTATAACGTCCAATGTGTACCGCAAGGTCAAGCTGGAGGTGGAGTAGAGAAGTCAAAGAGGATTACCACGCGCTATATGACTAAGTACGAGCGTGCTAGAGTACTTGGTACGTATAATTTACATTACAATTATTATTGGGATGGTTTCATTCAGGACCTATGCAGCTTGTCATCACTACAATGACTATGATCACCGCTAAAATGATTCAGAGCCAAGGCTAAGGTAAACATTGTTAAAGAACTTAAGACTTCAATGGTATCAATATCTGGGACTAAATAGAGAAGTTCTTGCTACCTATGCTACAAATTTCCTTTGTCGTAACTAACACATTGACTGACTGACTGACTTTCCAGATGTTGGCACCTAAAGTTTTATTGCCACCTAAAAAAATTTTAATTAGGCATATTTTGCTTAACAACAAAACAGTGATGAGGCATGAAAATTGTCTTTTGTACAGCCGGAGCAAAACAAAAACACTTGCCTGACCCCGATAAAAGACCTTTTGGTTCTAAGCTTTATAAGTGTGAAGGAAAGTGTTAAACAAAGAATAAGGGCGAAATCTATCAATATTTTACAGTCTTCAAATGTCATAATTACAACATTGAATAAAATAAGTTCATTAATTTTTCAAGTTCTACTAAAGACTTGTCTAAGTCTGGAAATAAAATAATATTTTTAAGAAATTCAAATGATAAATCTCTTTTTCCATCTTCTAAGAACTGGACTGATGTCTTCCTACAACTATCAGTTTCTTAACATTGAGCGACATCTAGCCGCCAAAAAAAGATTTTCAGTACCTGCACACATATACATAGGTCCAATTTAAGTTACTTTACGTAATTGCAATAAAAGATCAACTACTTTATTATACAAAAGAAAGTAGACAATTCCTTCTCGAAAATGCCACACGTGAAAATGGTAAAACTGGCAAAAAAGTTCCCGATATCAGAGATGGCAAGTTTCACAAAAAAATAATTTGTGTCCAAGTTACCAGTATGTATTAACTCAGTTTTCTTTTGTTATGCTTCATGCTTCTTGACCATACTGTTAAAAAAATAATTTCCTCTGAACTTTCATAACGTCACAAACCCAAATGGTGCCTTGGGTTTGTGACGTCAGCTTCTATGAACTCTGTTTAAGACTTCTGTAGTTTATTATTGATAATACACGGAATATATTTTATTCAATTTATGTAAAACATACCTCCAAAACTTCACTGGAATATGTTTAATTCCAAACTTCTCTGAATAGTAAACCAAAACCAAAATGTGTTCAGGAATTTAAACTTTATATTTGTTTTCATAAACAGACATACATATTATGTCAACAAAAATATGTATATACATATTTATATGGGAGTTCATCATCGTTCTTTAATTTTTAACTCATGTTAAAACCCGTAAACTCATTTTAAATGCGGGAGATGGTACTCAGAACCAAAAGGTCGGTAAAAGGAGGCAAATGGATGCCGTGTATGTTAGAGCATCAACTGTACATATTCACATGGGTCCTTCACAGAAAACTCAACCACTAATTTTGTTTTTTCCAATACCTTCATACCAAGCCTTAAAGTGAAGATTGTAACCATGAAATTTTACCAGGTACTCGTGCGCTCCAGATAGCAATGTGCGCTCCTGTCATGGTGGAACTGGAAGGCGAAACAGATCCTCTCCAAATTGCCATGAAGGAACTGAAGCAGCGGAAGATCCCCATAATCATACGCCGGTACTTGCCTGATCATTCGTATGAAGACTGGGGTATCGATGAACTTATTATTATTGATCATTAAGTTATGGTCAAGAATTTTCCAATTATATTTATTTTAGTAGGGTATAGGAATGAAGTCCAATTCTCTGTGACAAAGGCAACCTCAGTGCCTTGGTGCAATCAGTATCTTGGCTACTAGTAGGCACGGTTCAAAATGGGATACTTAGTTACATTTTTCCCAACTATCGGAAATTCATGTGTAAATAGTGCAATTGTAAAAGATGTTGGGAAGTAATAGTCTGTTTAGATAAAGCCGGCAATGGACAGTCTGATGGCAATAATTATCTGTCTTTCCGACTCGGTGTTGCCGTTTAATCCACTATTTAAACATCTGTTAAAGGTTTGACAAATAAATATAAGTTTAAACGGCAACATTGTCAAAAGTTTGACAGATAGTTAAAATAAAATTAATTAACTAAAGATCACAAAAAAAGGTAATGTTTAGGAATAAATTTGTGCAAAAATCTCTTCGATACTCCCTCTGAGTCATCCGAACAAATTTTCCGTTTAGACTCCCTCTGTTAAGTTTATGAAACTAGCTTGAAATAAACACTGGTAAAATTGAGACAATTAGTCTAATAAGCCATGCCAAGCCAAGAAAACCTAAAAACTCTATATGAATATTATGTTCTAGAGAATTGGACTGTATATGTATAGAAATGTAATGGCGCATTTACACTAGGTCGAACCTACCCAGTGTAAGCACTGAGTTGTATGACGTAGTTCGTTGCCGGAGTCGACCGAATCGACCAGGTGTAAACACTGTCGACAAACGATTATCGACCAAACAAGTTTCAACGTGTCGGCGATGATGTTTCACGGTGCGCGTACAGGAGTTAAATAATACCTATCTATCAGTGTGTTGTGCCGCTGTGCGTAAACTTTTCGATGTTTATAATGATGCGATTTCAACTTCGGCAAACGAGGCAATCGACTCGGTATAAACTGCGACTGCGCTGCCTTCGTCAGCCGAAGAGACGACTATCGACTCGATGTAAAATGCGAGTAGACTGGCAAAAGCAAAGCGAAGTAGTCTGTAGTATAAGTTGGCCATCGACCCTGTGTAAATACGCCACTAATGGAGTTGTAAAAAGTTGGAATATTCTCGTGTAGTATTTAATTTTGTAGATATTTCGTTTAAGTAGATTTCTGTGTGTGTTAAGTTACGTTTAATAAGTTTAGCTGAAATAGCTACGTAGTTATGTACCCGGTGTCGAGGTTTTTAACCTTGATTTTTTTTTACCGGGAGCTCGTGCGCTCTAGCAGCGTGCGCGCCTTTCATGGTGGAACAGGAAGGTGAAACAATACTTTCTAAATCACCATGAAAATTAGAAGCAACGGAAGGTTCCCATTATCATACGTCGACACTTGCCCGATTTTTCGGATAAAGATTGGGGTGTCGATGAACTTGTTCTTATATTGTTGAGTTACGGGTCTCTAAGAACCTCTAAATTGCGTTAATTTCTAGGAAAGTGCAGCTTTGGAGTCCAATTCTCTATGATACCTTGTTGCCGGCTGAACTTGTGAGGTGTTAGCTCGGTAGCATTGGTAAACCTGTTGTTCCGGTGTTACCATCTAAACAGCTGTTTTAACATAATTAGTAGAAACTGTTTTAAACGGCAACACCAAACTGGTATAGGAAACATTTTGTTAGTTCCGTTCTATTACTATTTTAAAACAACTTTCTATGTTTTTATATCTAATATTTTGACGTATTTGAATCCAAAGCCATGAATTAAATGAAAGAAGATCAATACTACTGATTCAATGAATGTTAACTTTAAGATTTTTGGTATATTCTATTTAAATAGCTATCGACTGAATTCTTCTAAAGTTATTTTACTGGGCGTTTTGTATTCTCAGTATACTTTGAGAGATTATAGTGCTCATTCATATGAACAATACAAAATCATCTGTACAAAAAGTTCACACTTGTAGTGATCTAATTCTTATGTGGTTAATATAACACCAATCCACAAGAAGTGCTTTGCTTTCTTTTTCCTGATGTGGGCAGAGAGTCTGTGCAATTCTTTGCCTGCTGCTGTGTTCTGGCAAGATACCGGACCCTCTAGTCGACCGTTTGGCCCTGAGAGCCATTTTATGCATTCCACTGAAAAATGTTAAAGAAATTCCAGCCTTATGGTTGAAATTTGCACCTGTATACGTTAAATAACAAGTTGGCTTAAGAAGTTCTCAAAATGTCATTCACTAATGATGCAATCTGGATATCATACCAAAACGAATTTTTCGGCTCATAGGTTAACGGCTCAGTTTGTTTAATACTTTACACTTATCTACGCAGAATCAAATTGTTATTTAGAGGGTCAGTTATCTTAGGGCATCGTACTTTAAAAGCTTGCATATGTGATATTAAAAAAAATTAACAAAAGTTGTTCAAATTAATAGGTGTTGTAAAATAAAGAACTTCTAGAGTATTGGACTCGATAAAAATAGAATACCTAAGGAAAGATGTAAACCGTTGGAATATTCAAACTTTGTTGAAATTTCTTTTCATTTTGAATATATTTATCGGTTTTTAATTTGGCTGAAAAAGCTATGTAGTTACATACATGCCTGGTATTAAGGTTTGTAACCAAAATGGCGCTCTAGCAGCGCCCGCTCATTTCATGGTGGAACAGGGAAGGTGAAACAATCATCACCAAATCGCCATGAAGATGTTGAAGCAACGGATTGTCCCCATTATCATACGTGTCAGTACTTGCTTAATCTTTCGAATAAAGTTTGGGGTGTCGAAGAAGTCATTATCGTAGATCATTAAATTACGAGTCTGTAAGAACTCGTGAATTGTGTTTATTTCTCGGAGGGTAAAGCATGGAAGTCCAATTATCTGAGATGTCTTACTTCCGGCTGCATACGTAATAAAACGGTTATTACACTACACGATTTGAAGACCTGCGTCAAGGGTGGGCATGACTGGGCGTGGACTTATAAATAAGTCGTTAATTTTTTTTTAAATTTATTAAGGCTTTGGCAAAACCATCAGCCTAAACATGAAGTTTAATTATGTTTCTGTAAATATGGCCGCCACCAAGAGGATAGGCAATTTGAGGCGGCGTGCTTGGATTGACTCGGGATTCCTTAAAACTGACCGATACGGGTATTCTAGTTCGAGATTCGTATAATTTCGCGTTTTAATCGTCGATTAAGGCACAATAGCACTATCTTATTCCACTTTAAACTAGATTTCACAAAATAATTGAAAGTCAAAATAAAAACGAAACTTTTCCCTCCAAAAGGTCCAGAGCGAATCTTTTTTAAGGTATTAACCCGGTGGCATAGATAATAATAATATTCTGTCTTTCCGGCTTGGTGTTACCATTATAAACCACTATTTATTCATCTGTCAAAGGTTTTCAAATAGCCACTAAGGTATCAGCCCGGCGCCGTAGATAATCTGTCTTTCTGACTCGGGTGTTACCATTCCAATTTCTTTATGATGGCTCCATCGATTTTCACGATAATTTTGCTTATGTCAGGGTTGAAAAAGAAAATTTTGACGTTGGTGTTACTATGTACGGTTGGATAGGTGTTACCATTATAAAACACTATTTATACATTTGTTAACGGTTTGAAAATAAGGAGTTTCAAAATGACCACCTTTTCCGCGAAAAAATGTCAGAAAATTAAACTATTAACGAAAAATTACAGTCTAAGATCTGGCACTATGGCCAGTGAGACACCTATACCTGTCACGAAAGACGATAAATTGTACACTACGACAGTTTGAAAGATAATCACTTTGTTTCGACTAAAAAACTATAATCCAAAGTCATGACAATAAATAAAAAAAACGTAGTGTGTCGATAAAAAAGACAGTGGTTATTAAAGTTATCCAAAATGGCTAATAAAGATATAACGATTTCCCTCGAGAAAATGTCAGAAAATTCAACTGTTGAAGAAAAAGTATTATCTAAGATCTAGCAATGTGGTCAATGAGACGCCTTAGCCCATCCCGAAGGACGAAATATTTTACTAGGTACTAAATTAAGGAATCCGGCTCAATTCATTCTTCAAGCTTTTTAAAAGTTTTTATCGAGAGATATTGTCTTTAAAAGCTTACCTGTTAGACATAAACTTACCGACTAAAGTGTTTGGAAACAATGTTTTCACATTATACGCCTCGTAGTACAAGTGTGTTTAAAAAAATAAATATGCTCTGGATAATTGGACTGGATCAATATAGAAAACAAAAGAAAGATGTAAACTGATGATATATTATCATTATCATACTATTTAATTTTGTTACTTATAATTTTAAGGGTAATTCTGATTTTAAAAACATTTAATAAATTTTCATTTTCTAAACTTTGTGTTTGTTTTGACAATCAGTCACTGCCCCTGTGCCCGTCACCCTGAGACATAAAGAGAGAAGTCCCAAGTGCCTGTAATTTCACCAGCACCCTTACCCTTCAAAGCTGGAACGCAGTAATGCTGACATTATTGGTTGGCGGCAAAAATAGGCATGGTGGCAGTACTTACCTGGACGAACTCTTTCACAAAGAGTGTACAACTACTACACATTTGCAGAATTCGAGAGAAACAGAAACATTAATAATGGTACATTGTGTATTAGGATTGTTACGGACGGCCGTACGCGCCTGGCCGGTCAGAGCTAGAGTCCAGAGGAGAATGATTAATTCAAGAGCTCTGATTGGCCGAGCGGCGTAGCGACCCATTGATAGGACCGGTACGATGTGGGAGACACCGTACTGGTATAAATATAGGCGATAATTGTCATTCGAATCAATCACTTTCAATCACTCTCACTTGTTACAATTAGTTGTTTCTTGTAAGTCAGATCGACATTATATGAATATACAGTCCACTTCAGGTTAAGGAAGTTTCATTTTACTTTACGTTAAGGATATCGAGGGAAGATTAAAGCAGGGCAGTTCAGTTTGGCTGACTCCAACAAGGATCAAGGGCGGTAACTAAGAAATTACTAACGAGAGTTTGTTAGAAGCTCGAAGCCGATGGCTGAGGGCTATAATCACGGAAGAAAGAAAAGAATGGAAGCAACATTTGTATCAAAATCGGTGTCGCCACACGCTCACATTTGAAAACGTAATCTTACATTAGTAGGTACTAAAATAATATAATTTTGATTGGTTATAAATGAAAATAGGCAATAATAAAAATCTTTCGGTAAAAAAATTGAAACTTATTTGGATCTAACAAGGTTTTATTATTACTAGTCACCAGCTAAGAATCCTAGGAACATAAACTTCTTGTAACGAAACAACAAAAAGTTGACAATCTACAGATAGGGATGTGACATTTAATTGATATTGACCATAACTAGCGGAATATTGAACCAGGCATTGCTGTATGTAGGGTTAACCACGGAGTATATGGAAACGGCATTTAAAGCAATTTTTTCGAGAATACGTCGCTAATGCAAGCAATTCATTGAGCGTCATTCGAATTGTTCTTCTGACGGCGGCGATGGCTAGCAACCAATGTATATTGTTATTAAATGGTTGCAAGAAAATATTTTTCTTCGGAAATATTAGTGTATTTATCAAAATTTTAGGAAATACAGGAGTTTAGTACTTACTTTAGAATAATAACGCATAGAAACCTAGTCCGCACACGCTAAGTGAGGCAAATTGAAGCGCGCCCAATGGGCCTACACGAGCGGGCGGGCCTTCAGTGCTCAAGGTCAACTTGCACCGCGAACAGATCAAGAATTTTAGCTAAAAATGACGAAATGTGCGGTAAATGAGTGTAAAAATACGTCAGACAAACATAAAATAGATACTAACATCACATTCCACAAGAAAGCAACGCGTTTCAACTTGTATTTTTATATAAATATTCACTAAAACCGAAAATTAACCTACTACTAAACTAGCCTACATGAATTCGATTTTTGCCTCACTTGTTCATTTCGACAGTTCGTTTGATATGAAACTATAATTCTATGCGTTATTATTCTAAGGTACTTACCGATAAAATGAAATGACTCCAGGAGTATTTTTTAAAATTTGGCTTCTTATACGACATGATGTGTGACGCGACAATGGCACAACACGGCATATTTCAATTTTTCCCATAAAATTGTCTTATATCACATTTGAACGATAACTGACGCGCTGTTGACACTCTTAAGAACGTCTGTTCTTAAGCTAGTTAACGCGGGCCCCGCCCACTAACCAGTCTATTACTAGTATTTATGTGGTCTGTGGCTATAATAACTAAAGGTTTGTAATTTTACCGCCTGTGCAAAATGCAATGTTTTTCATCATATTTGCGAGGAAATAGATACAAGGATAATTTATTTCTTGTATGAATAAACATCGCCTCACAACACAACATGTATGGATTTTGCAAATGGCGGGCTTTTTTCTTTTTTTTTTAAACATTGCCAGCTGTTCTTCCATCGCTAATACAACTCGAAACTAAAATGTTTTAATAGGCACACACGCATGCAGCCACGATGTATTAGATATTAAATATTAACTTCCAAATACTGCAATAAATATTTGAATTTACAAAATAAATTTAGTAAATTATAGTTAAAATTATTAATACAAAGATCGAACACTCAGAAAAAATTCCTTCGATCCGGTCGGATTCGAACCGACGTCTTCTTGCATACCGTGGCAGACGCTATACCAACTAAGCCACGGAACGAACCAACGGACCTCACGAATTTTTCTATGTGCTTGCGTCATGTCTTTGTACTTGGTCTTTCAACGACTTTTTAGTCGTAGCGCCATCCATGAGAAATCTTTAACAGATTTATCACCCAGTTAGTACCTTTACAGCTACCAGTCCTGGCGAGAGATGTCGCTATTCACTGTATTAATTAAATTTTTATTGAATTGATATTCAATTATTTTTTGTGAAATTACTCCACTAGTTTGTTATAATTATTAATACAAAGATCTAAAAAATTAATTATAGTTAAATTGTGCAAATGTATAAGTATTACTTCCAGTGTATGCGAAAAATATGTTCAGATTTTTCGAGAAAAAATCTGTAGTGCAATGAAAAAACCCGTGGGCATAATGTATGCAATTGCGGTCGAATTTGCCTGCATGTCATGACACTGTTTACGAGCAAGTGTGATAAAAATGATATATTGTGTCCAAGTCAGTTGTCATTACTTAAAAAATAGTCTGTGCTTAACCAACGCGGTGTTTTATTAGTATAAGGCACATGGGGCTAGCATACTTCCATTGAATCGTTTGCCTGTCGCTGACCATTGTGGACATATGAGTTGCCATTTTAAAAAGCGTACTTTTTAAAATGGCGAATTTTAAGGTTACAAACTAGACGGCAGCGACAGCTATGCGGTCGGTGGGGCCTTGCGGTGAAACGGGCTCGTTCTCTACGCCAGCGATCGCTCGGTTTGCAGATATTTATTTATTAATGTCCATTGAAAATGGGTTTCATTGACGCTTTAAGGTGTCATTGGCGTATCAGACAAGTCAATGTAAATGTAAATGTGAAAGGGTAGCTTTACAAAGACCTTTAAAAACAAACATCCAAAACTTAGAAATACGCAATTTATTTACGAAATATATAAGAAAATATATCGAGTTCTTAGGTTTTCGCGATTGTTACATATAGGAAATGAAACTATTTTTTCGGTTTCAAATCGCTAAAGTTTTTTCAAACAAACTTACGTTTCGGACTCTTCACAAGTCCCAATTGCCACCCATGATTTTGATCCGAAAAAATAGAATAATTTCATTAGAACATTTTTTGAACTTGTTTATTGAGTATCACATTCTAATTTACCTACTTTAATAAAAATAAAGACGTGACTAGAATTATTGACAACAATGTACTAGGCATTATTTTCGCGCCAAAACTTCGGTAAAAATCAGAAAATACACAAACGTCACTACTGTTAAGGTTGCTTTCGAAATTCAAAGGAATTTGACTATACGGTCGCGTTCTAAACATTTCATCCGTATTAATACTTTTTGTGATATTATGGAATAAAACATCTAGTTTAAAATTAAAAGGACCGTACATAGAGAACATTTGTTTATGGACATGATGTTTACCAAACAACTGATCCAGTTGCGTAAAGACATTAATAATTTCTTGGCGTTTCATCGAGCTTATGTTATTCGAGGCAAATATGTGGCCGATGTTAGACCAGCTGACAAAGCAATAATCTTTGTTTTCTTCGGGGCATATAGGAACAAGCTCTATGATATTCTTGGCCCAGGGTTCCGGAATGTGCTTGTCTGGAAAAAAAAGTCGTTTTAGTCTGTGGTATTACGTGCTCAACGTTTCTGGGTACTATTATTTATTTAAATGAATTGCCACATCTTACTCAGTGTTATGCACGCTGTATACCTATTATGTTCGCTGATGATGTCACAGTATTATTTACTAATAACGGAAAAACAAAAATTGACTACGAATTTGACATAAACAATACATTGAACGGTCTTACTACCTGGCTTAAATCACTAAATTTAAAAATAAATAATTCTAAAACAAAATATATATGCAATTTGGTAATTACACAGAAAATGACTTAGATTTAAACATAACTTGTGACAATGGCACTTTTTATAAGGTAAATAATACAAAATTTCTTGATAATACTATAGATAAAAAAAATAAAAAAACTTAAATTGGAAAGATCACATAGATGTGCTAAATAACAAACTTTGTAGTTATTGCTGCGCTTTATCTGTATTAGTCGATGTAGCGTCGGTTGAAGTTGCAAAAAACGCATATTACGGGAACGTATATGGTGTCATTTTTTGGGGAAACTGTCAATGCGGTTAAAATATTCACAATACGAAAACGATGCTTACGCATAACCTATAGCAAAGCCAGTGATTATTCTCTAAGAAATCTAAACAAAAAAAAAAGGGTTTCCTGACTAACAGGAATATATATTTTGGAAATGTCTTTTTGTACTTAATCACAGTCACAATCACTTCTTTACTAAAATATCTAATGTACACTCCGTCAACGTGACAAGGAAACAAGGACCAAGGAACAGTCAGAAACAAGGACCCTCTTGTCGTCCCTAAAATAAACAGCACGATCTTTGACCGCAGCACCTATTTATCAGAATGTATAACAGACTTCCAATGGAAATGAAATGTTTAAATGGTGATAAATTTAAAGCTAGTTTAAAAAAAATGTTAATTGACAAAGTTTTTTACAATCTTAACGAATTTTATATAAAGACATTGTAAGTCAATGTAAAGACATCAAATATTTGACAATTGTATAATTATAATTTAAATTTTTGACATTTAAGTAGTAATAAATTTTAATTGAATTGTAATTTTAAGACATTGTACGCCTGATTTGGGTAAGAATTGTGGAACTAATCACTTTTAAGTAACAACTGTACCAATTCATACAATAAATGTTTCTGATTATTGATTACTAAATGCTTTTAAAAAAAAATATTTAGTAATTTATTTCAGGCCACATGACCCATATGTTATATACCCTAAGGACTTTTGTTTATGTTGCTTATATGGGTTAAAGGAGTTGAGTCTTCTGTAGTTGACGTACGCTCATATAGGGTGAAAATAATGCTTTCGGAACGGTTTCCACAATACGGCGTGACTTGCGCGAGAGCGACATAGAGCGCGTGATTTCTATGCGAGAATAGCAGTATCTCGCGCTTTATGTCGCTCTCGCTCATGTCGCGCCTTATCGTGCCAGCCCTACAGGAGCGAATCCCTTCCGCATATAGGGTGGAACTGTATTTGTGTCATACAGGCTGAAGAGCAATTGTCTTTAAAATAAACATCTTTCTTCAACTTTCTTGAAGTTTGACTAGATCGAGTGACGTCCTCCCACGGCAGAGAAACCCTTCCTCCCTTACATGTATATATTTTAAAGTAACATATTTCTTATTACATTAATTCCTTCCAATCTTGTTCTCATGATTATATTTCCTTTCCTTTTTGGTTTTCCTCCCATCCGTTTCCTAACCATTTACTTTGACGTTGGCACAAAGTATCCTAATGCCATTTAGGTAAAAAAAAAAGAAAAATTAAGACAATAAATTAAAAAATCTTACCTTTATACAAATTATAAGTATTCATACTTATAAAAGCCACATCGGTTTTTCCTTCTACAACAGCCCTCAGCGCTTGAATCTCACCATCAAGCAACTTATCTCCCTCTTTATAACAGTTTTTCATATAATGATTTTTAGTTTCATTGGGCAAGTTATAGAATTCAATACCAGGAGCACATATTTCTTTGAAGAAATTGTTAGCAACATTCTTGCAAGTATCGTTAAACGCTTTCGCTAAATAGCTTAAAACGGAATGAAACGCATGGCCGTCAAAGTGTGGGAACGACGCTCTTTTCCTGCGTAAATCCGCCATCTTTTTAAAGTGACAATCTGCTCTGGCGTATGCGAAAACTGTATTAGTTTTCTCGATTATTGGCGTCGCTTCGTGCAGAAGTGAGGTTAGGGAATAGTTCCTGCAATTATAATAACAAAAATCAGAGCTTTTTGTTTAGAGTTTGTTTATACTCGGTCCATCCATTTATTTAATTGACCTGCCTCCGAAGTTCTGTATTATCATTGATATACAACATTGTTTACGAGTATAATATCATTGAGAACAAAAAAATGCAATATTTCCTGGACTCTTTTGTTTTGGCGCCGATTTTTTTTACACACAGTCATAGCCCCGCACTAGGGAAACCCTGTAACGCGGGTGCCATGGACACACACATAGACAACCACAAGTTACACCCAAGCTCACGAGAGAAATAAATGTAGGCCATACAGATATCCCTCCCGGCCTAGGGAATCGAACCCGGGACCTCTTGCGTGGCAGTCCAGCATGATAACCGTTCGGCCACGGAAGCAGTTGTCTTTTAATCGAGCCAACAAATTATATGTATAACGAAGATTATATATGTTGATAAATTTTGGTACAGTCAAGAACACATCATGGTTGACACTTTGGGATTTGGACCGTTCTTATTGCTAACGGCACAGAGTTAAATTTAAACCTTTAGTGTCAGCTTGACGTTTTGTTGACCCTGTATCTGTCTATTCACAAATACCGGAGTTATCGCGTAGCATACATACAAAAACACAGACGAATTGAGAACCTCCTTAACCTTTTTTAAAAGTCGGTTCAAAATAACCATGCATTGTTAATATTAATGTGTGTGCGTGCGTACGCATGCTCGTGTGTCTGCGTGTGTGTCACATTTGAGGTGATAAATTTAAAAATCAATCCATCTCACCGTTTCCCAACAACCAGCCACTCGCTATCAGCAATAACGACATCGCACTGTCCTTCTGTAATACACAGCATACAGTCATGAGTGTTGTCTCTTTTCGCACATTGTATTGGAGGCGACACGCCATAGACTGAGCCAGCCTCGCTGAGCCATTGGCATTTGATACTCTCTGTTAATGATGTTGTACATAGAGTTATGTGTCTGAAAGAAGAATAATAACGTTAAAACCACAAAACAATAAATACAGTAGAAGTGCTTAGTGGGGGTGGTACGTATGCCAACAGTACGCGGAGTTCCACATACTTGAGCTCAATCCGCCATTTTAGCTTTGTACCTTATAGTCGTGTCAATTATCTCGCGCAAAACCTACAAAATTGTGGAAACACAACATAGACAACCACAAATTACACCCAAACTCACGAGTGATATAAATGTAGACCATACAAATATTTATCCAACTTTGAAGTGCAAACATGATAATCGCATTTGTAATATTATCCATGGTGGTGTTTCATATCATCGTTTAGTCTTAGGGCGCGTTCTCATTAAGGTATGGTTTTATTTGAGAAAAAAAAGGTATCGTATGCCTTTTGGCAAGCAGAGATCTGTGGGACACTGCCACTGCGCCCGTCACCCTAAATTGACAAGTCCCCTTCCTTTACTCTTCAAAACAGGTACTTGGCGATAGAAATAGGTAGGCCCTAAACGAACTCTTTCACAAGGAGTGCTACTTCCTATATTACTTAGATACTATCAATATCAGTTAAATCTTGAAAAAAGTTAATATACCTAGGGGGATTGCAACTATGTTGACTATACGCCTCCCGGAAACCGACAGCCGTAGCCAGATAGTCCATTGGTGGCATGGGAGGTGACAATGGAGCCGGTAGAGCCTCACGAATATCCAATAACGCCGCTAAAGCACCTCGCCAGTGTCGGTCAACGGTTACTGAACTATTCATTAGTGTGGATGTTAGGTTAGCTACAGCTGTTGCTGATTTCCTGAAAAATAAACAATTACAACTAAATATACGTATTTATACAACTAAATGTAAATAATAAGTAAATTCCTTTTCATATTTCAACTGGAAAGAAATGTTCTGTTTATTAAATCTGTTAATTATGTTATTAAATGGCCAGCTTGGGCGCCAACTTTAATATAATAACATCCAGTACATCAGTCAGTAATATAAAACCGTCAATAACAGAAAGGTATAGTGTAGATTAGGATTTCTTGACTTGTGATCCATGAACCCCTAAACATGAGCATACGTAACATATTGCATTAACACCAAAATTGGTATACAATTATTTTCTGAGTATAGGTGCAGTACATGTGATTTTTTTGATATTTCGCGCCTTTTGACGGCTATCCATTATAGGAACGAGTGAGACAAGCGTCAATACAACCCGCGAGTCTTGTATTATTTATCATTAAAAATAAAAATAAAAACTTATTAATCTAAACCTGGCGGCACCTACGTAGGTTTAGCCGTTCTTTTCGGCTTTTTTTGAATTCTAGTTTTGAATTATTTCTTCAGTCATTAGGTCGTTATTTTTTTAAAACTGTAAGTACTCCACAAAAAACCGATTACCGACCCTTTTCTTACTAATTCAAAATGCAAATGCAAATGCAAAGTTAGGCCGCGTATCCACGCTAAGAAAAGTCGCCGGGTCTATGCAAGAATTCGTGTCGTTTCTACACACGAACTGTGTACACTGTCTCGGCGCCGGACAAGAAAAAAGTCTTGTCCACCCCCGATACATTGTATAGGGCGGGGTGAGGTGTATTGTCAGTGAATGAACGTTAATGCGCTTGGACGGGTGTTGCTTAGTAGTCAACATATAGAACAACACTTTTCTTCCCACAGGTAGTTATCTTCACACATTTTACCCTACACACGTCTGTCCGAAAGCAGAGATGATATTATACCCACCAACTACCTATCTATCAAAAAGATATAACTGTGAATATTTAATTAGATATTTTTATCGAAACTGTACTGTACACGTCAAGAGATTTTATTGGTAAAGGCTTTCGGACTCGTGGAAAAGGCCTTCGTATCGTGAACTTACTCATCATTTTCTCGTCTGCAACAGACACGACATATTTTCGTGGCTAGATCCGACAAAGTTCTTATCGTGTACAAGACCGTACTCATTTTTTCTGTAGCAGACACGTCGAATTTCTTAGCGTGTATTCTTAGATGATCAAGTTCAGAGTTAATTGTTAAAGTGTTTAGACTAATTGTTTGCACTATACAGATAGCACGTGCGTTACGGAGGCCGATTTTTGTCTCTCTCGTTTGTCCTAATATACTCTAAAAAAGCGATGAGATGAATCGGTGCTAATCATTGACTTACAATTATATGAACGTCGGGTCCGCGCTAAAAAGTGTCCGAACTTATAGGGCGTTAAAATCGTATACAGAGCGTCATTCACGCTCTAGTCTTTGTTTGTTCGACTGACAGCGAAGCAAGCAAAATTAGACAGTACTGCGATGACATTACAATTTCAATTCAACGTTTTAGCTTTTTCATATTCCTTTACATGTCACTACGTTTAAATAGGTTGACTTGGGACATTTTTTTCGTGGTTTTTGTATTAGACCCGTCGTCCATTTATTTGTAAGTCAATGGTGCTAATCATATTTTTTTTCGTCATTTCTTTTGATCAACTATAATACCATAGTCATCAAGGAGGTTCAATGAATTTGAGTTAAAAATAATATTAAACTCGATATTGATTTATAAAAGGTCGGGGTGACCGCGATGAAATTCGTATCGATTAAATGCGCGCTTACCGTCTAGAGACAATAACGTTCCACGGTCGTTCCAACCACACGCAAGGGTTCTTGTTGTTCTTCAAAGGCTGCCAAGAACCATCGCGACATAGGTATGCGAAGCCTTCCTGGTCGAAGCCCCTCTGAAATGGATGGTAAGCAAATTTTATTATAAAACGGGCAGTTTATTAGTCTCTGTGTATCAAATTACAGCGTTCCTGCATTCAAGGTACGTGTTTCTTTTTTAGATATAGTTCACTTTGGTTACAGTACATGTAATAGACGAAGACAGACCTGAGACCTAAATCTCGCGAAGTAATTCGAGCGCTCTGATTGGCCGGCGCGCATTAATTAGGCCGGTACGTTGTGGGAGACACCGTATCGGCACACTAGTAGGAATCTTACTGGATCACAAGTAAGATAATTTAGAGAAGTAAGAGAATTAAACTTATGTTTCAAAGTGTATCCGAAATTGGTGATACAGTCCACTGATATTCAAGATCTATAAATCTGTACGCGACCCAAAGAAACGGACAAGGCGAGGGGACTAGAGCTGCGCGGGCGGCGCGTTGCGCTAGTCCGCTACCACTACTCACGAACGGTTCTTGTGTAAACGTTCCGAGATGTTGGAAAATAAAAATAAATTTTATCTTGTTAAGAAACTTATAATTACAGTACCGGTACGCTATGATGGCCGTTTTGATTTTTTTTGTTTGGCCGTTGAGATTACAATAGTTAGGTCAAATCTCAATTCATTATCGAAAAAAATTTAATCAAGTGCGAGTCGTATCTCTAAGTTTTTAGATTTATATAACTAGTATTGCAAGGGGTGGCTGATTAAAAAGTTTTTATAAAATGAAAATAAAAATGTTTACATAACGTCAATTCGAAACTGCTTTGTTTTGCATTGAGCTTTGACGCGAGTTTGCCGAAGGTAGAAGTTGTGCTGGCCAGCGATCCCATAAGTGACAATTGTATCAGATTCTATTTTTTAAAATTTCGAAAAACAAATGCCGAGTTGGATCGTAAAATTATACATTCCATAAATTTTACTGCACGTCACCATTGACAACAATGTCCAGCAATTAACTCCTTCAATATAATTAAGAATTATCAATCAATCAATTTATTTATTTGTCAGAATAAGGTACATTATAATCAGATCTTACTTTAAACAAATCCAACTTATTCTACCCTAATCGGCATGCAAACATACATATATTTTCTTAGAATAATAACGCATAGAAACCTAGTCCGCACACGCTAAGTGAGGCAAATTGAAGCGCGCCCAAAGGGCCTACACGAGCGGGCGGGCCTTCAGTGCTCAAGGTCAACTTGCACCGTGAACAGATCAAGAATTTTAGCTAAAAATGGCGAAATGTGCGGTAAATGAGTGTAAAAATACGTCAGACAAACATAAAAGAGAAACTAACATCACATTCCACAAGGAAGTAACGCGTTTCAACTTATATTTTTATATAAATATTCACTAAAGCCGAAAATTAACCTACTACTAAAACTAGCCTACATGAATTTGATTTTTGCCTCACTTGTGACAGTTCGTTTGATAAGAAACTATCATTCTATGCGTTATTATTCTAAGTATATTTCATTCAACTATTTACTAAGATTACTACAATCAATCAATGAAAACTCAACTGTTTATTGCGATTAAAGAAATTGTCAAATATTGCAAATAAAGTAAAATTACAAAAGATATAAAAGTAAATTCATGAATAATATGATAAATAATGATTAATACGAAACTTGATTATACTATAGTGATAATCATTTACTGTTGCTAATTCATAAGTCTAGAATCAGGCTGTGAAGTTACCTGGAAATACGCCTGCACGTCATCAAGTTCCGCCCATGCAATATCACCAGCCGAAGCTGCTAAACAGTTCAGGGCGCCGCTGTCGCCCCAGTATGGGTCCGAGATGGAACACCTGCCTGTCGCACACGCTTGGCATAGGGATGGGTAGGTTCGTTCTGCAAAACAAAATAATACGATTAATTAATACAAAGATCGAACACAGGAAAAATTTGGGATGAGTCTGAGAGATGAGACCAGTAGTTCTGTCAACAGAATTGTGCAACAGAACTAGTGGGAATAAATGGATCATACTTTTTTATTTAGTAGCAGAATAGCTCCTTGTGAAAGAGTCCGTCCAGGGTAATGCTGCCACCTTACCTATGTTTGCCGCCAATCAGTAATGGCATTACTGTGTTCCTATTTCGAAGGGTGCTGGTGAAATAACAGGTGTATGAGACTTGTCAACTTACGTCTCAGGGTGACGAGCGCAGAGGCAGTGCCTCTCAAATCTTTGCGATTTAAAGCTCTGAGTGGCACTGCAACTATTATGGACAGGCGTGTAGCTTACCACGATGCACACGACTTGTTCGTCCTGTCACTTGGTATTATATAAAAAAAAGTTAATTGGAGATTAGATCGACTCATCTGAAGAACAGAGTCCTTTGTGATAAAGTAGCGAAAAGAGAATAGGTAAATTACGAGAATAATTTCCTTATTCAAACTAAGGCCTATGTCAAGGTGTTTTGGGAATTTATGTATCTTATTTCTTTTCGGAAATATAAAATCAAACAACAGTCGATCTAACATTCACAGCGAAGAAAAACGAAAGAAATGTAGTATGTCCTGAGTCTTACACATAGATCTTTGTTCTATGGATGAGTCGAGATACAGAAAAATAAAACCTACATGCTCTCCAATTGGAGAAAAGCTATAAACTTAATAAGAGTTTTATCTGCAGAAAGATGGTGAATTTCTTACCACTGATACATAATTTGAAGATTTTTTGTGGAAAATGTCACATAAGTAGTTTTACCTTCTTTCTCTGAAGATGTCGATTACGTTAAGAGGGAAAATGCCAAAAAATTTTTGACGTTGGCTCCGCCCAAATTTGTGAAAGAAATATATGCCTGAAGTTCGTGTGACATGCGACAGATGTTGAATTTTGCGCATTAAAAGTACCAAATTCGTTTTAGCGGAATTACTCTAAAACTAAAGGGATTTAAAAAAATCTGTAGTGACAGTTCTCGATCATGCATAAATATAATAATTATCTAATTTTTGTCCTAATGACCTGTAGCATTTCGAGGATGAATCTAAAAAATGTGAAAATTAGAGGTCATTTCGTGATTTTTATCTATCGAGGAAACTTTATTGTTTTATGTATCTGATTAGTATCTATGCCTGAATATATCGTGTAGTTACTCATACAATATTTTATTTTAATTTTAAAGTGGATATACCCCTCTAAAATCAAATCGAAGATTAGAAATTTTTCCTCTGCTCCCTCTTAATTATTACAATTGTAATATAGGGCAGAATATCTAATAATAGAATAAAGACTACAAAACTTACTCAGTTCAGCGTCCCTAACTTTATCAGGCACCCAAACACCAGCCTTGCAAGCCTTTCCGAAGAATTCAGCTGTTGTTTTGAGTCTATTCTCAGCAAGTGACAATTTTGGATCGCACGATTTTGCTGTTACCAGGGATTCTAGGTACTGAAAAGAAAAACGGATTGATGGAGAAAACGAGGCAACGCATGCAGCAATAAAATCAACAACAACGTCTAAGTCAAATAATGATTGAGACTTTTTAAGCTACTATCGTTCACTACGCTGACCTCACTGAGAAGAACAAGCAAGAAACTCTAGTATTGCTCTTTTCCAATAAACTTAAATGCTATTGAATACATTTTGAATCATATTTGTGTTGAACCTAGACTCATGTCATCTTTATCTAACACGTAGTCTACAATTTTGTAATATGACTTTCAATTAAAATACTTTCAATGTAAGTTTTAAACTTAGGAAATGGTAAACTGAATATATGGCTCGGAATCTTATTATAAAAACATATACACGTTTACCTTAGTTAAACGAAAACGTGTGACAGGGTCAAGAGCACGTCAAGCTTTACACTTAAGACTTAAATCCAACTCTATGCCGCTTACGATAAGAACGGTCCAAAGTACAAAGTGTGAAGCTTGATGTGCTCTTGACTGTACCATTTATACATCCCACTTCTGGTCACAGGTCTCCTCTCAGGATATACATATAGGCCATAGTCCGTCACGCTGTCTTAATGCGAGTTGGAGACTTCACAAGAAGGGTTGTGAACTTTCTTCGATGTGCAAGGTTCATCAGGATGTTTTTCGTCACCGAAAAGCTCATGGTAAATTTCCTTTGGCACATAAATTTCCCAAATCGCAGAAGTGCAACCCCGGATTTGAATTAACTGCCTCTGTTTGAGTGGCGGTAGGTCAAACTATTATAGGCCACCATCATTGACTTACAATTATATGGACGTCGGGTCCGCGCTAAAAAGTGTCCGCACTTGTAAGGCGCTAATATCGTATAGGTACAGAGCGCGACACTCCGCTTTAGTCTTCATTTGTTCTACTGACAGCGCGATACTGCGATGACATTACAATTTAAATTTCGAATAGGTTGACTTGGGACATTTTTTTCGTGGTTTTTGTATTAGACCCGTCGTCCATTTATTTGTAAGTCAATGGCCACCATGGTTTTTTTTACACATAGTAAGTAAACTTATACATTATGATCAGTGTTCATGGTGATTAGAAATAGATGATTATTAATATATTATACTTTGGAAGCTTAGCTCGTGCAATAAGCAAGCTGAAGTGGCAATGGGCTGGCCAGCTGGCCGAGCTATTCAGAACGTTCAGAGTTAAAGTTTCGATTCGGATTCTGATACATCGTTATCCAACAGCGTTTACGGAGTTAGTCGGTGAAATAGATTATAAGAAAAATGAAAATCCTTTTATATAAATTTTTAAAACTTTAAAAGCCTAAAATATAGGAATGCATTAGTCTTGCATTAAAATAAATTAATAAAATTGAACAAAATCCAAACTTATTTAAAACAATAAGAGATTTTAAGATTTTTGGAGCTTTGGGTAGAGTAGGGTCTCTATATGTATATGTATATGTATATGTATATGTATATGTATATGTATATG